TAATTTATATATATATATATATATATATATAGCGAGAGAGGTGTGCGTGCTATTTTAGTTATTATAGTATTTAATTTTATTCATATTTTTAAATATTTTCTTATTTTTATTTCACTTTTAGTAATTTTAGTAATTCAACCTCAACTTATTAAACATATGTATGTGAATGTATATGTATAAATGTGTGTGTGTGTATATATATATATATATATATATTATATTATATAAAATAGATCATTGAACGTTTATTTTAGTATAATGATTACCTAAATAACTGGAATTACACCACAATCTGCAATAGATTCCGCATAAAAATGCAGCTGATTGTATGTAAGTTACAACAGTGATAAGAACAAGTCTAAGCATGAATATGAGAATATTTTCTGCAGGAATACTTGTATCCAGTTATTAGTGACTGAGACCCCTTGTCTCTGCTTGTGTGTGTGTGTGTGTGTTTTTAGGGCCAGGCCGATCTGCTGAAACACGCTCGGGCGGAAGTGCTGGAAAACATGAAACAGATCCACTACGCCGCCCTCACCTGTAACCTGGCCAAGGGAGTGGCGAGACCCTCATCCGTGTCGGGCTCCAAGGGCCGCCGCAGCCTGGACGCCATCCCGGAGACCATGGCGGAGATGATCTGCTGAAACACGCTCGGGCAGAAGTGCTGGAAAACCTGAAACAGATCCACTACGCCGCCCTCACCTGTAACCTGGCCAAGGGAGTGGCGAGACCCTCATCCGTGTCGGGCTCCAAGGGCCGCCGCAGCCTGGACGCCATCCCGGAGACCATGGCGGAGAAGGCGGTCGGGGAGGACGACATCACAGACGAGGAGAACTGAGGGGGCCGAAGCGTCCCGCCAAATCCCATAAATCCTCTCCCAGGTTCGGCGTGTACCGAGAGAGCATTTCGAAAGATCTCCGCGCGTCTTGCCCGCAGGACACTTCAGAATGAAACGGAGCCAAGGCCTCCTCTACTTCCCGTTCCCGTCCCCTGTCCGTGTCTCTCCGGGGTCAGGTGGGTGTCGACGAGGCCGAACTTGGCTCCAGGTCTTTCTACAAGCACAAACTTTGAGTATTAGGAGGAATTAGAACTGAAGCCATGAATGTAACGAGACGTCGTGTGCGAGGAAAGAAGGAAGCTGTTTACAATAAAGAACTACTTCGTGTTCTGTCTGCTAAAATAGTATGTGTGTGTATATACAGTATAAATATATATATGGAGATCTGTTACCTTTTTTGCTATGTGAACTTTTAATGGATCAGATTATTTTGTTATGAGAAATGGATGTTTCAAAGAGCTCTTATTTTATTTGCTTGTACAGAACTTGAGATGTGGATCTTACGAGACGGCCCCGGCCCTTGATGGGCTTTTTAAAAATTATTTGTATAAATGCAGGAGGATTTTGAGGATGTGGTTCGAGAGAGAATCTAGTTTTAGATATTACCAGCAGCTACTGTACATGTGAATAGGTGAGAGTCTCTGGATGATAGTTTTGTCTCTTTGGCCACGTGCACAATGCAAAATTGAAATGCAGATGGTTTTATCCAAAGCAACTTACAAATGAAAATTTCCGTAAAATTGTCATTCTGTGTGTATACAGAATACAGGCCTGACGATTTAGCATAACGTGTTCCTAAAAAAGAAACACGAAAGCCAACAGTTTAACCCAGTGGTTCTCAACGCCCAAAATTGTCCACAACTATATTTGAAGGTCCCCCTTAATTTAAAGGATTAAAAATAGATTTTTTTACTCTATAAAATCTATTTGAATATGGCGTGCCAAAAAAAAAAATATTATATTCATTATAAAAATGCCCTAAATGTTTTAGGATTGTATTAATTTACATGACTTTTCCAGGTCTAGCAATTAAAATTAATTAAAATAAAAATAATTTGAATGCCTCACTTAATTTGAAGGATTCAGAATAAGGACCTATATATATATATATATATATATGAACTGCTCTAAATGTTTTAAGATTGCATTCATTTACATAACTTTTTCCAGGTCTAGAATTTCAAATGATTTCAAATTAAAATCATTTGAAGGCCCCTCTTAATTTAAGGTTAAGCTTAAGGATGAGGATTTTTAAAAATGCGTTTTATTCACAACTAAAAACGTGTATATTCATTATAAAAATGCCCTAAAATTGTATCAATTGACTGTTCGAGGTCTAGAAATTTAAAATGAATTCAAATGAAAATTATAATCTTTTTAAGTCATTTTGAAGCCCCTTTGGAAGTTTTGCTCATGTTGAGAACCATTGGTTTACGTAGCTTGGTGTTAGTTATGTTTTTCTTGTTTTACAAAAAAATACAGTTTCAGTCTTTCTACTTTAAAATGTCATTTAATGTTACTTGGCATTTCTTTAAACCAAATTTCACTCATAAATTGCTGGCAAATTTTAAAGTAATTACAAAGTAAATGGTCTCAGTGAATGAGTGGCAACCGTATTTCCCTGCAGTGTGCACATGGGCTTTGAGAGCGGACTGAATACTGGATGTCAAGTGTTATGATTAAAGCTTCTCCGTCATTCCTGGAAACATAGTAGTTCATGTGTGTATGGCTACTGTTCAGATGAGATTCTGCCTTGTTGCTGACGTTCTGTCTGACATTGCCTTTTTTTAACCCAGCTTCTTCTAGTTTGTAAGTGTTTGTTTCCGGCTCATTCTGTTGGTCTTCTCATTGTGCCATTCTACTGTTGGACCCTGTGAACCACTTCCATTAGATTTTACACGTTGTGACTGGACATGAAAAGAAACAAGTTTGTTTATACATTTCAGTGCTGTAATTGTGCATTTATAATTATAGTTAACCATTTATACCAGTAAGGAGTGGATGATAGTTTCTAAGAATATCAGTTTTGTTTGACGCTGTTAAGACCCAATGCTCTGAAATAAACCATGTTAAGTACATTCTTTAACGGTTTCGAGTTTCTTAAAGCACTCAAACCACTATAAACGTCAGTAAGGTATTTAAATGCCTTTGATAGAAGTTTCTTCTGCTCACCAAGCCTGCATTTATTTGATTAAAAATACAGTAAAAACAGAAATACTATTTCAATTTAAAATAGCTGTTTTTATGTGAATATATTGTAAAATGTCATTTATTTCTGATCAAAGCTGAATTTTTAGCATCATTACGTCAGTCTTCAGTGTCAAATGATCTTTCTGAAATCATTCTAATATGATGATTTGCTATCAATGTTGAAAACAGTTGTACTGCTTTTTTAATTTAAAAAAATTGCAAAAAACATTAAGAATAGCAAAATATAGACTCTGAATTGACTTTTTTTCTCGCAATTAAGAGAAGGAGGTTTATATTTTGCTATTTTTTTTTTTTACTGTCGCAGAATAAAAATTAAATTAGGTAATCAATAAATCAAGTAACAGGCTTATCTCAGAATTTTCTCAAAATTGTAAAAAAATAAAACAGAATTGTGTTATATAAACTCAGATTTGCAAGAAAAAAATAGTGACTTGTGAAATAAAAAGTTGCTTTTATTTTTAACCTCTGGTGGAAACGAGCTTCTATAGTTTAATTAAAAAATAATTTATAAAAATGTATAAATAATTTTATATATATATATATATATATATAAACTTACTAACACCAAACTTTTGAAAGGTATATACTCTTGGATTTCCTGAAAGGTTTTATGAGATATCAGTTACATTGGATTTGCAGTTATTTTACTAAACTAAATCTAGTTATCTAGACTTCATCAGATCAAGCGGTGTCCTTCAAGCATAAGAATGCGTCCAGGTAAGACAGACAAAGAGTCAGTGAAAGCAGCGTCTGTCGTGTACGTGAAAGATCATTAAATCACGGTCCTCTGGCGCTTGTTGGACTCTAAAGTACACAGTAATGACACCTGAAAGAGATGATATATACACTCTGTACCTCTGTTTACCTTCCAACCATTAGATGAATCACACTTGGCTCTTGCTCATGAGCTTGCGTAACAGCAATCGTAATAATGACTGTGACGAGATTTTCTGATGTTATTACCCAATAGATCTCTCTCAGACGGCTATGTTTGAACAAGGCCCATCCTGAGAGATCTATAGCAACCCCAGAGAGCCAGTACAGATTTTTCACTCGATGACACGATGCTCACGGACTGAAGGCATTACTATTGATTACATTACAATTTGTGGAAAGCGATGGAAAAACCCCAGGGACATTTGGGACTGTTGCTGGCTGGGGATGCCTGGAAAGGTTTGACTCGAAATGGGACAAAGTCATTTATGTTTCAAAGGCATTTATGTTTCATCCACTCTAATGTGGCATTATGAGGAAACTCTTCCACAAGACCTGTGTTTGTTCTAGATTTTTAGAAACATCTGTGAAAAATGTGACTCTCTCCATCACAATACAGCATACATCAAAAAGTTTAAGATTACCAATAGAACTGCTTTTTTCTTACAAATTATATTATCAATAATTTCAGTAATGAAATAAAGTTTTAAAGATGTACATGAATTTGAATATTCACATTTATATTTGGTAGAAGAGTTTGTTTTTTCTTCAGATTTGGAGAAATTCCATCACTTGCTCACCAATGGATCCTCTGCAGTGAATGGGTGCCGTCAGAATGAGAGTCCAAACCGCTGATAAAAACATACAGAAATAACTTTAAATGATTGCTTCCGGCCAAAATACCGATCTATAATCTATATTAATGCAAAAGTCCTACATGTTTGTTCCTACTGAACACTTTTTGACTGTGAACAGTGCTTGATCTCAGCATATTTCTCTTCTGATTCAGAGGAGATGACTTTCTCAACATTGCTTTTATGACTAGAGGATTCATATTTTAGCTGCAAGCAACAGCAACAGTTAATTGATGGACTGGAGTGATGTGGATTATTGTGATGTTTTTATCAGCTGTTTGGACTCTCATTCTGACGGCACCCATTCACTGCAGAGGATCCATTGGTGAGCAAGTGATTGAATGCTACATTTCTCCAAATCTGTTCCCATGAAGAAAAAAAAACATCTACATCTTGGTCACCTGAGGGTGAGTAAATTTTCATTTTTGGTTGAACTCTTCCTTTACTCCTTTAATGACAGCTGCACTGGAGAAACCTGATGATCGTGCTTTCCAGCATGATTTTGGATGATCAAAAGAGAATTTTGAGCTTCAGTGGAAGCAAGAACATCTGTCTGTATAAAGAGTCACACGATCATTGTTGCTCATTTATTAATTACAAAATTCTAAAATGTATTTATTTCGTGTATTTTGTTTAAATGGCAAAAACGTCTGTACAACAAACACCAAAAATCATAAATGTCGTGGAAACATCTGCATCGCCCTGTATTTTTAACACACAAAAATAAAATAAATTACTAATAATAGTAATAATAATACAAATATATATAAATCAGAATTTTTGTTTTCCACTAAAAAGATCCTAAAGACAAAAAAGATAAGACATTTTGTAAGATAAATCAATGCTAGATATGATGTTAGAATAAACAAACAAGAATAATCTCCGAAATAAAATTTTAAACAAGTCTTACAAAATACATTTGTCTTGTGGGAAGAAAATAATTCAAATTGTTATTCAATGAACACTGTCACCGTTCACAAATAAGGGGAAGCTGAAGATTTTCACTATTCTTCACAAAATGTGCACAAAAGAAATCTGTACCTGGGGGCACTTTTTCGCGAGACCAATAAGTACATATATCACTGCAGTTTCCAAAAGAAATGAACACCAGAGGCAGTAAAACTCCGACACCTTTCATTCCTTTTCACACAAATTTTACAAAGTTTCGATTAATAAAGTGTAATTTTCACACAATTACTTGAAGAATATTATGTCATGACTTCAAAACCATTTTAATATGCTGGGAGATTTGAAAACTGATGCTTTTGAATGTTAGCCTCGCACATATCCAGCTTCATATCTATGGATTTTCATAGACGGTAAGTTTGTTTGGTAGCTCACGGAGTACGAGATGTTCTTGAGAGGTGAGGAGCTCCGGTTTGAATCCCGTGTAACCAGGGGTGTAAATTTCGTCAGTTGGGGGGGACAATAAACATAACATTTCTCAAGAGCGATTTTTGAAGGGGACACAAATAATACAGCTAAAATTGTACTTGTAAGGATATGTATACACAGAGGAAAGCCTTACTACTATTAGTGTAGCAGGGAGACTGTGCCAAATTAGACAACTTAAAGCTGTTGTGGTCGCGCCGCGACAGCGCTCGTGTCCATTGTAGACATTACTATCTGTCACAGTGTTGCCAAGTCCGCGGTTTTCCCGTGGAATTGGGCTACTTTATCACTGTTGCCGCGGGTTGTTTTTCATGTCCGCGGGTTGAAGCGACCCGAATAATGTGTATTTTAGCTCACAGAACGCGATTTTTAACGGGGGAACCCCTCAAAACGCGGTTAGTTTGGGCTAGTTTTGGGTAGCAACTGGGAGGGTTTTGATGTAAAAAACCTGGCAACCCATTTCGTCAAGCAGGTAATTAAGCAGAGAAATTAATCACTTCATCCGATGTTTAAGTGAATAAAATAGCCTTGACAGCCTTGGAGTTCCACAACTATTGACTTTGTTCTCTCTCACCAGACTTGTGTGTGTAGTAGGTGATGTAAAAGAGGAAAGCAGGCATTTGGACCAAAGCACTGTGAGGCAAGGGTGGGAGACTCAAAATGTTTCTAAACATAAAACGCATTTTTGCACCGTTTGTGTTGTTTTACTACTTACACAATTATTTAAAGTATAAAACATTGTTATTTACAATACACTGACTGGTTTT